GGTTGGTGACACTCATCTTGTGTGATAGGAGCCCACAGTAGTGCTTCGTTACAATTGCCATTAACGAGCAATCACAGGTCTGGGAAGGGCGGGACCCAACGAGACCACAGGAATGGGGTGTCTTGCAGGAATGAGGTTCAGCGTCTGCCGGCTGCAATCTCTTCTGTGTGCCCCTGATGGCAGGAACCTGTCTGCACTAAGAAGGTGGGAGTCACTATCTCACATGGGAACCTAGCTCGTTAGGTGGGTGTGGGGGTGGGTGGGTGGAACCTGGGATACAGAAAAATCTGGTATGTGGCAAGTTGTACGACCCTGGAAAAGTTGCATCCTTTCTCTGATCTCAGTTATCAGTAAAATGGAGACCTGGCGACCTTCTATGCAGGATGAGGATGTGAGGTAAATGTGTAGAAGATCTCATCTGGGGGGTGGTACAGAATTGGTATTGATGCATGCTAGGGCAGAATGAATGTACTGTGCATAGGCAGTGTCAAGAAGCACGAATTGTGCCCCTAGTGCACTCAGAGTATCAGAGGGAGTGTCGTATAAACGCCTCGCTCCCTGGATTCAGGCAGACTGTGGGCCCAATGAAAGGCAATAATGTCATCTGATGGGCACTCTCTACCCAGTCAGGGCGGGATGTGGCCGAGCCCCTACCACAGGCGAGCGACACTCACAGCGTGGTTCTAGGAAATGGGAATCCAGTAAGTGATTGGTATTTATTTATTTTTAAAGAGTTATTTATTTATGCATACAAGAATGGGGGTAGAGGCCAGAAGTGAGAGGCCCACCAGAGACAGAGTGGGGAGCAGAACAGGCAGATCTACTGAGATACACTGCCGAGGGAGTAGAGGGTGGGACAGGAGAGGTCTGCTGCTCCATGTGGTCACCTTCCTGGCCAGGGATCGAACTCGTGGTCCAGTGGCTGGGGACAGCTTGATAGTGCTCTCTTTAACCCCTGTGCCAAGAGGGATGCCCATGATTGGTATGTAGAAGACTCAGATCCTTCATCCCCCTTGAAGGAATGGGTGAGATGCCTCAAGGGTTCCCTTACAGTCACCTGAGGCCGGGTCACCAGGACGAGTCACCCGGATGTCTCCTTCTAGCAGTGCAGGGCTCAGATTTTTAAAAAGCAGCAGGACCTTTTCTGATGGTAAAAGGTACATTCTTACCCATGGGGATTACAACTGGGATGAAAAAATGCACAAATAATGTAAAAATAAACCATCATGTTATAAAAAAAATGGTACATTCTCATTGTAGAATTTGGGTTAAAAAAAGGGAAAACAACAATAAGAAAAAAAGCCGCAGTATTTCAGGATACTTAATATATTTTCACAATGTTTCTTTTAACATTAAAAAAGTAAAAAAGGGCCCTTCCTGGTGGCGCAACAGGTTAAAGCCCAGCACTGCAAGCAAGCGGCAGCCACTTCAGTGTGAGTTTGATTCCCCAGCCCGGAGGTGACTCACATGCTGCGGCAGACCTCTCCTGGACT